TGTCCCCGGGTTTTCAACGCTTCCTTCGAGTGTCGCCCTGGTCCCGAGTTCTCCGGGGCTGCCCGCGGGGACAAGCCGGGCAGCTGCCGCTTCAGCCCTCTTCGAGGGGGAACAGCGTCGCTTTTCGGCAGCGACGAGCTGTCGTCCTCCCTTATCTTCAAGTTCCCGCCCAACTTTGTGCGCCAGCTCAGGACGAAGGCCCGCCGTAACTGCAGCAACATCGGCGTCGCACAAATCGTGGCGGCTAAGTGGTCCAATGGTCCCGCCGCCGGCTCCCCTCCATTGGCGGCGGCTCAGGCAGCCGCCGCCGCTTCATCCCCTGCCGACACTCCGGTCGAGCTCACGGCCGTTGATGATGTGGCGGTTATTGAGGGTTGTAACAGCAATGGTAGTGTACAGAAAGAATCATTTTTGAACTCCGACGGGAGCATCACAGTTCACGCCGGTAAATAAACAAAACCCGTTTATCTATATTGAACTCTTCCATGGTTTTGTTTTCTGGTCTGCCAAAAAGATTTTTTTTGCTTTCTGTGAAAATATGGCCAACCATATTGATGATTGCTAATCCTTTTCTTAGGAGATTTAATGGCAAAATCTTAGTTGAGAACTCTTTGTCTGGGTCCTCTTAATAAATATACATTTGTTTATGGTAAAGAGTGTTTCTTTTTATGGTGTAAAAGTGTAAAGTAATTTTATTGTTGGAGTTGATGCAGGTGAAAGATTGGGGCGTGGTATAGTTACTGATGCAATTACAACTCCGGTGGTCAATACCTCTGCCTACTTCTTCAAGAAAACTGCTGAGCTTATAGACTTCAAGGTATGGCGTTAATGATCTTTATTGCTCTATACTTTTGGCAAGAACAATTTTCAATCTTTAGGGAGTATTGGGTTAACATTTTACTAATTTTTGACAGGAGAAACGACATATAAGTTTTGAATATGGGCGCTATGGGAATCCAACAACTGTGGTTGCAGAGGAGAAGATAAGGTCTGATTCTTTCTCTTTTTTCTTCATTTCTTTTCTTTGTAGCCTTTTATTTTTCGAATTTTTTCATGGTGCCTTCATGCCTTTAGCATCAATATTGTTGGATGGTTTAATGAGGCTATGATGTCTTTGTTTTAGTGCACTTGAGGGGGCTGAGTCAACCCTGATTATGGCCTCTGGAATGTGTGCTAGCACAGTCATGTTGATGGCATTAGTTCCTGCTGGTGGGCATATTGTGACAACAACTGATTGCTACAGGAAGACTAGGATATTCATTGAGACCATGTTACCTAAAATGGGAATTACGGTATAGTTTTCTTTTAATCTTGTTATGTCATCTCACAGCTGGATTATGTCTTTAGGAAGTTACTGCCATAGAAATCTTCTTAGCTTATTATGTTTTATTGCAATGGTACCATTCTTTTCTCTTAATACATGTGACAAAGTATTTTTTAAAGGAAAATAGAGAACATAAAAGTTAACCTTTTAGGCCACTTGGGTGTTGGCACATATTGAAAAGTCAATTTTATTTATTTCATTTATTTTGGTTCTTAGTTCATTGTATTTCTGAGTTAAATTTTGTTATCGATGGTACTAACTGCTGGTTGTTATTTTCGCAACTTGTTATGTTCCTAGTGATAAAATTGAAGATTTATTTGGAAATTCTGGAATAATTTTTCTCAAAATTTCTTCTGATTACCAATTGACATGCAGGCCACTGTCATTGACCCTGCTGATATGGAAGGCCTGGAGTCTGCACTCAATCAGAGCAATGTTAGTAATGGCTAGCTTGATTCTTCTAGGTTTATATTTGTGCATTTATTTTAAAATGACTGGTTAAACTGAATTGTTGCATTTATTCCTCACAGGTCTCTCTTTTCTTCACTGAATCTCCTACAAATCCATTTCTCAGATGTATTGACATTGAGTTAGTTTCAGAGCTTTGCCACAGAAAAGGAGCTTTGGTTTGCATTGATGGTACCTTTGCAACACCTCTCAATCAGAAGGCCCTTGCTCTTGGTGCTGATCTTGTTTTGCACTCTGCAACTAAATACATTGGGGGCCACAATGATGTAAGTTTGGTTGTATTTGTTATGTTAAAAGAGTTCAACAGACAAGCATTGAACAACCACAATTCCTAATGTTACAGGTCCTTGCTGGTTGCATAAGTGGTTCTCTGGAACTGGTTTCTCAAATCCGTAATTTGCATCATGTTTTGGGTGGTACTCTCAACCCGGTGAGTAATCATTGATGTCTGCAGTCCATTGATAAAATTTATGTTAAATGTGTGTTTCCTTTCTAACGGTTTTGAAGTGATTTAAGTATGCTATACTCACTCAAGGGAATGATTGACATATATATATAATTTGAGTTTGGACTTAAATTCCATGGGAAATCTCTTTTCAGACATTATGCCTATGGATTGGTATTTGTTGTGGATTTGTGCCCTTATGCTCTATTGTGAATCCCATGACATGTAACTTCTGTGTTTAAATAGAATGCTGCATATCTGATCATTCGAGGCATGAAGACACTTCATCTACGTGTACAGCAACAAAATTCAACAGCATTAAGGATGGCTGAAATTTTAGAGGCACATCCTAAGGTACTGATTGCAGTTGATATTTGGACGGTTCTTTCCTATATTTCTGTTTCCTATTCGATATTACTTTTCTTGTATCAAGCTATATTATCCTGTATGTTGTGGGCTCATTAAATAGCAATGGCAGGTGAAACACATCTACTACCCTGGTTTGGCAAGTCATCCTGAACATCACATTGCTAAGCAGCAAATGACTGGTTTTGGTGGTGTTGTCAGTTTTGAGGTTAGTGTTATTAGAGTACTTTCAACAGATGACTGGGATTATCATGCAATCATGTATTTGCCTTTAACTTGTGTCATTTATATAGAAATTCTTTTCTATCTGATTGCTTTTGGTTGATGCAGATTGATGGAGACTTAATGACCACCATAAAGTTTGTTGATGCATTGAAGATTCCATATATTGCTCCATCCTTCGGTGGATGTGAAAGCATTGTTGATCAGCCAGCTATCATGTCCTATTGGTATGAAATAAAATTTTATATTCATACAGTCCATGCTGATTAGTTATATTTTATCCAATCAAATGCTATTCCACTTGATTGTTACCACTTGATGAAAGAAGAATGTAGATTCAGAGATACCACATAGGATATGTAATGTGTTTTCTACTACACTTTATATAAAGCCATAAGAACATGAAGTCAACGTATATGTGATTCGTCCCAAGCATGTTGAATATACCCTTTTTGTTTGGTGAAGGATCCTGAAGACTATCCTTTTTTTTATCCTGCCTTGAAACAGGGATCTTAGTGAATCAGAGAGGCTGAAGTATGGGATTAAGGATAACTTGGTCCGATTCAGCTTTGGAGTTGAAGACTTCGAAGATGTGAAGGCTGATGTTCTCCAGGCCCTCGCGGCAATATAACCAGCGTGTTGAACCTGTCTTTTTATTTTCTTTAGGTCTTTTAGCATTGCCTCCAAGTTCGTTGTTGCATCAATTGGAATTCAATTTCCGGAATTTCCTATCCTATCATGTTGTGTAGCAAAAGTAATGATCCCCTAAATAAATTCGAACTTTGTGCCTTTGTGTTTTATCTTTACCTTGTAGTGTATGCCTAAATGAATGAGAATGAAGACTGACTTGGAGTCAGGCTTATGTTAACCTATGGGGTAACACTCTTCAATTGTTCATTCTCAAACTTCTTTGACAACTTACCAATGAATTTCTTGTCACAGTATTCAGCAAACGAGAGTGTTTTTCAACGTAGGAAAGAACTTTGATTCTGGAATCCATATAAGGGCTTGTTAACTCAATGGATGAAGGGAAAAATCTAGGTAAGGGGTTGCGGATTTTATGGGAATATCTATGGGATTAATTAAATACGCTTAACAAAATGTACCCAAAAAATATATATATATACTTAACAAATTAATAGAAAATTTATTAAAGGTATGACTGTATGGGTGATTATGTCCGTATGAGTATTTAAATTGTCAAATTTGTTTAATTTATATATTTAAAGTACATATACATATATATATATATATATTTTGAACATTTTGACATGGAACGAGTTTGAAACCGTCAAGGAAAAAGGAAAATGTGCTTTTCAATGATTAGTGCCATTGGATCTTTAGGGTCAAATGTTATTTAAAGTACATATTGATATTGCATCAACTATAATTTTTAATTTATTTATACAAGAAAACAGAAAAGTTAATTTCATTTAAAAGAATTAGAATTGCATGCCAATTGCCTTTATTTAGTAATAGTAGTTAGAGAACTAGAAATTTTATATAAGTAAAGATACGAAATTTTTTTAAAAATTAATTAGGGACATGATATTTTATTTTACTCCTAATTAAAGTTATGCCTTTTAAAATTTTTTAATCAAGTATATAATCTTTACAATTTTGTTAATTAATGTTACTTTAAAAAAATAAATTAAGGATATAAATGTGCATATCCACTTAAGTTTTTTTAGTAAAACTGTAAAAATTATATTTTTTTTATTAAAACCCTTTTAAATGTTATAGATTTGATAGATAAAGAAAACATGCCGTCTCCTAAATTAATTTTTTTTGTAAACATTTATGAAACTTAATTAATTAATTTTTTTTTTAAAAAATTGTGTTCTTATTTATAAGAATTCCATAACAGTATTCATAGATTAAGGAACAATATACATAGATTGAGGAATATGGTTGTTTAACGGCCTCCTTGATTAAGGAATATTCTGTATAAGCATGTCTATACATACAGTATATAAAAAGGACTACAGGAATACTCTGTAATCATCGGAATAAAGCACCCCGACGCCAATAGTGGTCATCGGAGGAGACCATCGATCTGATGAAA